AGTTGAAATGATCTGGTGGTTTTGTTCCTTCGTTCTATTAATGAAGTCTGTTGTGATAAGTTATTTTCAAATGTTGAGCCACACATACATTCCTGGGGTAAGTCCCACTTGTTCCTGATTTTCAATCCTTTACTATGCTGCTAGATTCAAGGTGCTAGTATTTTTTAGTATATTTTACATCTATATTCATAGGATACATTGGTCTGTAATTTTCTTTCTTGTGAGATCTTTGGCTTTAGTAACAGAGTAATGTTGGCCTTAGAAGTGTTCCCTCTTATACTTTTTATAAGAGTTTGAGAGCAATGATGTTAATTCCTCTTTAAATGTTTGGTAGAATTCACTAGTGAAGCAATCTAGTCCAGGGCTTTTCTTTGTTGGGAGGTTTTTGATTTCTGATTCAATATCTTGATACAGTCTGATCAGATTTTCTGTTTCTTCTTAAGTCAGTTTTGGTAATTCATGTATTTGTCCATTTCATCTTTGTTGCCTAATTAGTTGATGTACAAGTATTCACTGTATTCTTCTATAATCATTTTTATACCTGAAGGTCAGAAGTAATGTAACCAATTTCATATCTGATTTTCATAATTTGTCTTCTTTCTTTTTAAACAATTTTTATTTATTAACTTTAAAGAGAGAGGAAGGAAGAGAGGGGAAGAGAGAGAGAGAGAGAGAGTAAGAGAGAGAGAGGGAGGAGAGAGGAGAGAGGAGAAAGAGAGAAAAATATCAATTTATTGTTCCACTTATTTATGCATTCATTGGTTGACCCCTGTATGTGCCCTGACCTGAGATCAAACCCACAATCTTGGCATATAGGAATGACACTCTAACCAACTGAGCTACTTGGCCAGGGCTATATGTCTTCTTTCTTTTTTTCTTAGTCTAGCTAAAGGTTTTGTCAATTTTATTGATCTTTTTTTTTTTTAAATATATTTTATTGATTTTTTACAGAGAGGAAGGGAGAGAGATAGAGAGAGTTAGAAACATCGATGAGAGAGAAACATTGATCAGGTGCCTCCTGCACACCTCCCACTGGGGATGTGCCCGCAACCCAGGTACATGCCCTTGACCGGAATCGAACCTGGGACCTTTCAGTCCGCAGGCCGACACTCTATCCACTGAGCCAAACCGGTTTCGGCTTTACTGATCTTTTTAAAAGACCAACTTTTGTTGACTTTTATTCCTCTATTTCATGAAATTCTCTATTGTTTTTCTATCCTTTATTGCATTTATCTCAGATCATTATTATTTCCTTCCTTCTGCCAGCTTTGGGTTTTCTTTGCTCTTCTTTTTTCAGTTCCTTAAGGTGTAAAGTTAGGTTGTTGATTTGAGATCCTTTTTTTAAAAAAATATATTTTATTGATTCTTTACAGAGAGGAAGGGAGAGAGATAGAGAGCCAGAAACATCAATGAGAGAGAAACATCAATCAGCTGCCTCCTGCACATCCCCTACTGGGGATGTGCCCACAACCCAGGTATATGCCCTTGACCGGAATCGAACCCGGGACCTTTCAGTCCGCAGGCCAACGCTCTATCCACTGAGCCAAACCGGTTTCAGCATGAAATCTTTTTTTTTTTTTAAATGTGTTTTTATTGATTTTAGAGAGAGAGAAAGGGAGACAAAGAGAGATAGAAACATCAATGATGAAAGAGAATCATTGATTTGCTGCCTCCTGCATGCCCTCCACCAGGGATTGAGCCCACTACCCAGGTATGTGCCCTGACTGGGAATCCAAGCGTGGCCTCCTGGTTCATAGGCGGAAGCTCAACCACTGAACCACACCGGTCAGGCGAGATCTTTCTTTTTAAATATAGGCTATTGCAGTTATAAACTTCTCTATCAGCACTGCTTTCACTATAAAATCCCTTAAGTTTTTGTATGTTGTATTTTCATTGTCATTCTTCTCAAAGTATTTTTTAAATTCCCTTCATGATGGCTTATTTGACCATTGGTTGTTTAAGACTGTGTTGTTTAATTTCCATATGCTTGTAAATTTTCCAGTTTTCTTTCTGTTATTGATTACTAGTTTTATTCCATCATAACTAAATAAGAAACTATGTATGATTTCAATCTTTTAAAGTTTTTGAGACTTACCGTGTGATCTAACATATGGTCTATCCTACAGAATATATCATGTGCATTTGAGAAAAATAAATATTTTGTTGTTGGATGAAGTATTTTATATGTATATATTTAGATCTACTTGGTTCAAAGTATTGTACAGGCTTCTAGTTCGTTACTGATCTTCATCCCATTTTTGGATGTATAGTTTTCTATCCATTATTTAAAGTTTAGTATTCACAGATAACATTGAAAAGCTGAAACAAGACAAAGATACCCACTCTTGCCACTTTTTTCAACATAGTATTAGAAGTCATAGCAAGAGCAATTAGGCAAGAAAAAACCATAAAACTATCTCTATTAGTAGATGACATTATATATAGAAACTCCTAAAAATTCCACCAAAAAAAACCATTGGAACTAATCAATTAATTCAATAAATGTGCAGGATACAGAATCAATAAGCAAAAAACCAGTTGTGTTTCTATATACTAACAACAAAATCTCAGAAAATTTAAGAAAATAATCCCATCTATAAATGCATCAAAAAGGATAAAATACCTAAGAATAAATTTAACCAAGGAGGTAAAAGACCAAAACACTGAAAACTATGAGACTCTAATGAAAGAGATTGAAGAAAACACAAATAAATGGGAAAATATTGCATGTTCATAGATTGGAATAAATAATATTGTTAAAATTTCCACTCTATCCAACGCAATCTACAGATTCAATGCAATGACTATCAAACTTCCAATAGCATTTTTTAAAGATATAGAGCAAACAATTTTAAAATTTGTATGGAATCACAAAAGACCCCAAATAGCCAAAGCAAACTTGAGAAAGAGCAACAAATCTGAGGCATTACATTCCCTGGTTTAAAATTATATTACAAAGCTACATAATCAAAACAGTATGCTATTGTCATTAAATAGACACATAGGTCAATGGAATAAAATAGAGAACCCAGATATAAGCCCACATATATATAATCAGTTAACTTTTGACAAAGGAGCCAAGAATATATGGGGGAAAATAATATCTTCAATAAATGGAAAACTAGATTGTCACATGAAAAAGAATGAAACTGGACCCCCTCTATTATATGATAACACAAAAATCAACTCAAAATGGATTAAAGACTTAAACATAAGAAATAAAAATCTAAGAAGAAAACATAGCTCCTTCACATTGGCCTTGGCGATGATATTGTGAATTTGACACCAAAAGCAAAAATAAGCACATGTCCCTACATCAAACTAAAAAACTTCCACAAAGCAAAGGAAACGATAAGTTCAGCTGGGTATTAAGTTGTTAATATTTAAATTTCATATTTCTAGATAGTTACAGCAGAAGGTATTCCATGTTAGCTTAGTCTAACATATTTGTTTGAGGCCTTTAAGTTCCCTCCTCCATAAGATTTATGAAAAACACTGTATATGTCTGTAGATGTGCATTATTTTGGGAAATGGTCCACAACTTCAATCAAATTCTTAAATAGGCTTATAACCCAAAGGTAAAGGATAATTTATTTTAACCTTGATATGTTGTTTTGAAATTTTACAGTTAAGATTCTATATATTCTCATAAACCTGGGAATTCTTTGGACTTACCTTCCCATACATGTGTATGTATGTATGTATGTATGTGAATACGGTATATATGCATAAATATATATGATTATATTTTCTATATATTTTAAGCTAACAAATTCCCATTTGTCTTTTACATCCTTTCTATATACATACTTTCAATAAACTTTTAAATACACTTATTTACTCAATGGCCAACATGAAAATATCCTAGATATCTCTTTGTAAAACTATAAATACTGCAAGGAGGAGAAAGAAGAGGTGAAAGGGATTAAAAAAAAGAACTAAACTAAGAAATCAATGTAGTACAGGAAAAGGTTGTTTCAATAAGCACAGTATGAAGATGGTTAAGATATGAAGGGAGAAAGATGTTAGCTCTCAGAGCTAGGGAGCAGTACTTCTGAGTCCATGTGTTTTATACAATAACTCCTTGGTTATACTGGCTAACCTCTTCGATTTTTACGTTAGATATATAGGGCAAAATAGACTTCTGGAAAATATTTACATTTGATATATATTTATATAGTTGATATGTATAACAAATGTCATTTCAAATATGGTATTGAAATGATTGAATAATTCCACACATGAATGGATTAGATTAGGGGAGAATATTCTTTATAGAAGAGTCTGTTATCAGTTGGGAGCAGAGACAATAAGAAAATTGAGGGGGGGCTCAATTAAATTTGTTATTTAGCCAGGCTGGATTTTACTGAAATATGCTATCTAAACAAGCATAAATAAGATTATCCATTTCCTTGGGGAAATTATCATCATATACATACAGGTAGAAGTTAGAAAAGCAAACAATATAATTTACAAGGCTGGTCTTCTCTTTTGGAAAACTATATGCAGTTTGTTTATAGCTGACGTACTGCTTTGACATTCTTAAATGAAATACACCAGACCTACCGACTCAGAATCTGCATTTTAACAAGATCACATGTGATTCATATACATATAACATTTGAGAAACACAGGTCTATACAGTAAGGGGGGTTGACTAAATAATCTCAAGGTCCCTTATAACTATTTTCTCATGAAAAATCAGATCTGGCAACATTGGCACCCATATTTCATGTGGCAACAGTTGGCTAGAGCTGAAGCAGTTGCCCTATTAGATGGGGCATGTATTCTCTTTGGCTCCCCTCCCCCCACCCCTCCCCGTCCTCATTTAGCCCCCTTCATGTATTTATGTTAACTGCTTGGCCCTTATTCAGCCTCTAATCTAAATTAGATTCCAAGCAGAAATGAGGAAGTCCCTTTTTCAGTAAAAAAGAGATTCCTTCAGAGGTGAAAATTCATTAGATGTATTTGTAGGTGAAAAGAAATAAAAGTTCCTTTACCTTGATGGGAAGTAGTGAGGTCCAGGCAGGAAGTAAGGATGATGAAAAGAGAATCGAGGTGGTGTCCCAAATAGTGTGGCTGGATGGCCAAGGGGTGGGGTCTGGTAGACGTGTGAGTGTGGAAGAGGAGGAGCCTGGGGGATTGGAGCACCTCTGGGACAAGTGGAAACGCTTGGATACTCCTTGGGAGGTTGGATGGGCGAGGTTGCAAATCTGGCATGGGCAGTACTTGCACTAGTTGAAATCCTATTGGTGCTCTCCGGAGAGACAGGTGTAGGTCTCTTTACAGAGTGACTGGCTCCAGAATGCAGCTGATGTGTGTCCGTTTGGGAGGGCCCAGCAAAGCGCTGGGGTGAGAGTGCTGGGCGGAGGGGCAGATTTGGAGCCTGAACGGCCACCTGGGCAGTACTGGAGACGGCAGGCTGGAAAAGTGTGATGGGGCTTAGACGCTGGACTGCAGGTGTGGGCAACTGGATGGCAGGTGGGGCTTCACCTTCAGAAATAAAAAGAGCATAGGTCAAGCATTAATTGAGTCACTCCATGTTTTTCATGTTTCAGTTGAATTTAATAAACTCTTCAACCAGAAGCCTTTGTAACCACCTTACCTACTAGTAACAGCATCACCAATATCAATCCCCTCTATTTATTTCCTTCACAGCATTTTGAACAAACTGAAGTCATCTTGTTTACTTATTTTATACTAGAGGCCCGGTGCATGAATTCATCCACGGGTGGGGTCCCTCGGCCTGGCTGGCTATCAGGGGCTGATTGGGGCCATCTCTCCCAGTCCTGATTGGGGCAGATCGCCGGGGGGAGGGACCACAGGAGGTTGGTCGGCTGTGGGAGGTTGGCTGTGGGAGCACACTGACCTCCAGGAGGTAGCTCCTGCATTGAGCGTCTGCCCCCTGGTGGTCAGTGCGCATCATAGCTACCGTCTGGTCATTCAGTCATAACGGTCACTTAGGCTTTAATATATATAGATTGTTTGGTTTCTCTTTCTCACCTAGATTCTAAGTGCCATGAGAGGAGAGACCTTTTGTTTTGTTCACTGCTGTTATCTCAAGGACTCTAAATTCTTCTTGACATTGAATAGATGCTCAACTATTTTTTCATGAATAAAATTGAGTGATGAAATACAAGACAAATACATGCAATATTGGTATGTATATATAAATGTTTCTAAAATAAATAATATGAAACCACTGACAGAGGTTACTTTTAAGGAGTGGATGTCTGGGAGGAGAGGCAGGGCAGTGAAGCAGAAGAAAAAGCCAGATTTTCATTTTATATTTGTCAATACTGTTTGAATTTTCTATTATCTAAACATATTAATTTATTTTTAACATCAATAGAGGTTTCCATGTAGTGGCATGCATAATTTCTATTTTATTTTGTATACTAAATTATGAATGGAATTTAATTTTTTTAATTGAAAAAGCTAAAGAAACAATTAGTAAAATTATTTTACTTTATTGCATTCAATGTAATATGGTGGGAAATTCCCAAGTGAGAACAGGATTTGCCACAGGTCAATTTGTGGTAGATATGAAAGGAATCTTATTGCAGCAGGGCATGACAGATATGGCAGAATTTTTCAATACATGTAAAACAACTCTGTATTTGATCTTTCCTGGTAATTGTCTTTCCTCAGAATTGCATAAATATAGTCCACCCTTGTTATCCCATGAAGATTGGTTTCAGGACCCCCTCGAATACCAAAATCTGAGGATGCTCAAGTCTCCTATATAAAATAGGGTAGAACCATGAATACAGTTGGCCCTCTATAGCCATTGATCGAAAATAGTATTTGCTTTTGGTTGAATCGCGGTTGCAGAGCCGGCTGATACAGAGAGTCTACTGGATGTATTGGGGAAAATATCTGTGTATAAGTGGATGCATGCAGTTCAAACCCGTGTTGCTTAAAGGTCAACTGTATATTGTATAAAACTGTCAGCTGCCTCAAATAAGAACATTGATAAATTTGTCCCTGGGCAAATATACAGCATTTAACAGTGAGTAAAAGCAGATGGAAGGGGACGGTCTTAGAAAAAGAGATTAAGAAACAGATTGTGAAAACAGAAGCCATAAATAACGTAACAGACAAAACAAAGTAAGTTAACAAAAGCATAATTAAGTCTAGGTAGAAATACAGGCTTACAGAGATCCTGCCAATAGGGGAGGGTAAAAGTGCCTGACTGGGCTGGGAAAGAACAAGGATATAAACTCAGTGCTTTCTGCATCTTTCTTTTCAGCCTAGACATCCTGAATGTGACTTCGTTGCTATCAACTGCTAAAATGTTATAGAAAAAAAGGTGAAAATGCATAAGATTCTAATAAGTCAACTTTCAAGATATCTAAATCTCTCAGCACATAGAGGTGGCTTTATTACCAGAGGATCTGAGCAGGTAGCTTTAGGTAGTGGATGTATAAAGCTCTGCCTAATATGTGGTTAAAATAGGTTCTGGAAGAACAAACCAATGATGGATAGCTCTATAACAAGTTTTGCTACTAGATTCTTAATTTGGGGTTCTTAAATGCAACAGACAAAAATGTTGTAAAGACTCATAAAAGAAGAGAAATTTAGGGAAAGACAATATAACGAGACAAATATTTGGTAAAAAATAGATTACTTCCATTGCTTTTCTAGAGCAGCAAGAAAAGTCTTAATGATTAGTCATCATTACTAAATTCCAGGACAGGGTGCCTCATACCCCATTAGTAAGGCATTCTTTCATGCTGATAGTAAAAAGACACTCTCTTTCTTACTGAGTGACCTCAGACATTTCCTGCATTACCTGCCTATTCTGTGGGCTCATCCTGATTTGCTTAAAAGGTCTGAGGCTTTGCACATGGTATCTTTGCCACTCTGACAAACCAACTTCTTTGATGTCTACTGAAAATTTTCCTTCTCTGATTTAATGTTTTCACTTTCTCCATTTCCCCCCTTAACATTGTTTTTCTAAATTCTTAAGCTAACAGAAGCAAAATTTCAACTTAAGGTAAAATTTTCACACAGCTATTTAAAAGATTCATAATCTACTATAAAACCAACTCACCAACTGGATGAATGATGGTGTTTTGTAGGCTGGGAATTACCACAGAGTAGGTAGGTGAGCGATAAGGATAAATTGTTGTAGGATTTGGAGAAGTGATATTCTGTGTGGTACCAGAAAATACATTGGAAACACTTAGAGGGAAGCGTTTTCGCTTCCCTGGCCGAGGCTGATAAACCCAACCTATAGAAGAAAATAAACTATTTTTAATTTGAACATATGGACCCTTATATAGCTTTTATTTTTTTAAAATATATATTTCTTTATTGATTTCAGAGAGAAAGGGAGAAGTAGAGAGAGATAGAAACATCAATGATGAGAGAGAATCATTGATCGGCTGCCTCCTGCACACCCCGCACTGGGGATTGAGCCTGCAACCCAGGCATGTGCCCTTGGCTGGAATCGAACCTGGGACCTTTCAGTCCGCAGGCTGACGCTTTATCCACTGAGCCAAGCCGGATAGGGCCCTATATAGCCTTTAAATAGTTCTTTACACATAGGCTGGGGCAAAAGTAGGTCTACAGTTGTAAGTATGCAAAAGTTTATTCTTGTATTAGTATTTATTAATTATTGTATTATTTTCTATACCAACAACTGAAAACCTAGACACTGATTTCTGCATTGTTAGCTAAGTTTTTAAAAAAATAAGTTATTGTCTAAAGTATCTTTTCCAGCTCTATAATACTATTTCTATGCATTTTAGCATATATATCCATATAGCTTCTAAGTAGTGGCCAACATTGTGATAATTCAAAGAAAGTAAAGTCAAATGTCTGATATCCAAACACATGGAATCTTAGTAAAACAACGTTAAAGGCATTAAGTCTGAATCCCAAAGCTTTTCCTCTACCTATAAAACAATGCCCCAGTAAGAAAGTATCTGTTTCCTATTTCTGACTTTCTCTAAGATACAATTGCCTATATCTTACACTGAAATGGTCATAATGAGCAATCACTATTGTTATGCCTCGTTTAGGAAGTCACTCACCTAGACTTGGCAGTCTCCAAGTCCAAATAACCAAATTTCCTTCCAAAGTCAGAAGAGTGGCATTATGACAGTTATAGCTACAGTATAACCAGAATTGCTGGTTCCCTATAATTGCTGCCTTTGACTTCCCACCCCCAGAACCTCTTTGCTCATACTTTAGAAAAAATACTCCCTCTGTCCCATAAAAATAGTAGCAAGTGAATATTTAAACGGGAATTATTAGTGAATGCAGCTGTAAGTTGTTGTAGCGCAAAATTGCGAAGCCTTCAATCAAAATCAATGTTTCATGACATCTGTCATTTGTTTTGACACATCTTTCAATTTTTAGGTTAATCTAATTATTACGAATTATAATTATTTTTCTGATTTCATCCGCTGATCAAAATCAATTGTTTTATTTCAGTTGAGCATCAACCCATTGTAAAAGTAAGATGAAAAAAAGAGAGTTTTCAAGCAAAGATCGAGTTGCGATTGTCCAGTTCTTGATGCATCAAAAGAAAAAGAAAAAGTTGCAGAAAGGTGCAATTACGTTAGCTGCAAAACAATTTATGTGCAACAGAATGACCATATCAAGAATTTGGAAACGTGCTTCCGAAAATAATTGTCAAGGAGAATCTTATGCTAATGTTGATTCTTTGAAAAAACAAAACTGTGGACATAAATGCAAAGATTATGGAGAAAAACTTGAAAAACTTAGACATATTCCTCTTAGCAGAGGAGGCACCATATTAGCCTTTGATAATATTTCTCCCGAAATACTGGATAATACGTTTCTGTCACTTCAACAAGTTATGCTGGAAGCAATGAAGAACGATGGCTCCAATAATTTTAAGCTCATGCATATAGGGAAAGCAAAGCTTCGTAACCAAGAGAGCCTACCTACAAGTTTAAAATGCAGTAACGAAATTATTGAAAAATCCAGAAACTATCTGAACACTCAAAATAAAAATTAGGAGTACTATTTTTAATTTATTAATTTAATCTAGTTTTTTTTAATAATAAATGTTGCGTTCTATATTTATTTTCTTTTGCTACTATTATTATGGGACAAATTACATTCATCAACTGCTACTATTATTATGGGACAGAGGGAGTA